AAAAAAAAAGCAGATAAAAGCAGTTAAAAAATATATACATAAAAAATGATTACATTTCCCCTTTGAAAAGTATTAATGAAAGGCTCTCACCTGTGGTTTACTGTCCATGGTCTCCCCCAGGAACCGTTGTCTGCCCTGGTCAACAGCTGCACTTAGTTTATGAATGTAAGACTGCAGCTCCTCTGCAGAGTCCATATTCAGTTCCACCAGAGCTTTATGGAATTGGTCCACCTGCCCATCTTCCAGAAGCTCCTATTGGGAAAAGGCAATTGTTATAGAGCAACCTCAGTTTTGGCTGCAGATGCTAGGGTTTAAAAAGCACCCCAGTATCTTGCCCCCCCAATCTGAAAATATCTAAAGCCATGTTCTTAGCTCCTAATTCCAACTGATGCAAATACAAAATACAAATCTCACATCGATTTATAAATATCGAGAAAGCAGCAGGGAGAGTGAGATTCTTCAGCTGTAGAGCTGGGAATCCCATTTGTAACTTGGATCCCTAAGAAAGGTAATGAGGGATTCAACCTAGCGCTATTCAAATGGTGCAATGTAAAAAATCTAATTCCGGGCTTTCTGATTTTACCGGGAGGGGGGTGCTTGGCTTAACTATGTAGCAAGTCACCAACTTGGAACAAGCATGTGTATATCAGGTGTCAGGGAAAGGCATGCAAATGCTTGTTCCAGGTCAGTGGCTCACCGTGTATCAAAGAAAGGATAAGCATGATACCCTGGATCATTCACCTTAAAAAACAAGTCAATAACAGCTGCTCCCATATCTCCCTTTGGCAGGTCCTTTTAATTTATTTTAAATTACAGATGCAAGTGAATATTTAAAACTCACTGGTGCTAGCCCTCCATTGGGTCAGGCAATGTTTAGATTAAATCTTCCTCTTAGTTGCCTGTACACCAGTGATTAGGGGAGAATACAAACTCCACATAAAAAGGGAGAGCCCAACTTGGTTCTCTCATTCATATCCATGGAATTTGCAGTCTTGCCTAATGGCGCACAGGCAATGGGAGGAAAGTTGAATGTAAACTCTACCTCAGAGGCGGCTCTAGAGTTTGCCAGGCCTTAGGCGAAACCTAAACATGAGGCCCCGCTCAGGCCTGTGGGGTCTCACCAGGGCTCTGTGGGGTTTAACCAGGCTTACACAGAGCCCCAGTAAGACCCCCCACAGAGCCCTGGTGGGACCCCACAGAGCCCTGAATAACCCAGGTCTCTGTAGGGTCTCAACAGGGCTCTGTGGGGTCTCATCAGCCTGGTTAGACCCCTCAGAGCCCTGGTGAGACCCCCATGTAGCCCTGGTTAAACCAGGGCTCTGTAGGGTCTCACCAGCCTGATTATCCCCCTCAGAGCCCTAGTGAGACCCCACAGAGCCCTGAATAACCCAGGTCTCTGTAGGGTCTCACCAGCCTGATTATCCCCCTCAGAGCCCTAGTGAGACCCCACAGAGCCCTGAATAACCCAGGTCTCTGTAGGGTCTCACCAGCCTGATTATCCCCCTCAGAGCCCTAGTGAGACCCCACAGAGCCCTGAATAACCCAGGTCTCTGTAGGGTCTCACCAGCCTGATTATCCCCCTCAGAGCCCTAGTGAGACCCCACAGAGCCCTGAATAACCCAGGTCTCTGTAGGGTCTCACCAGCCTGATTATCCCCCTCAGAGCCCTAGTGAGACCCCACAGAGCCCTGAATAACCCAGGTCTCTGTAGGGTCTCACCAGGGCTCTGTGGGGTTTAACCAGGGCTGGCGAGACCCTACAGAGCCCAGGGGAGAACCCAAAGTACCCAGTTGAGACCATATCTCACCAGCACCAGGGCTCCGAAGGGTCCCACCAGGGCTCTATGGGGTCCCACCATGGCTATGTGCAATTTCACCAGCCTGGTGAGACCCCTCAGAGCTCTGGTGAGACCCCACAGAGCCCTGGTTAAAGTAGGGTTCAGTGGGGTCTCACCAGGGCTCTTTGGGGGTCTCACTTGGGCACTGTGGGGTCTCACCAGCCTGCTTAAACCCCACAGAGCCCTGGTGAGACCCTACCAAGCCCTGCTTTAACCAGGGCTCTGTAGGGTCTCACCAGAGCTATGTGGGGGTCTCACCAGCCTGGTTAGACCCCTCAGAGCCCTGGTGAGATCCCACACTGCCCTGGTTAAACC